GGAACCGGAAGTGTGGATTTTTCGCTCAATCCAACAACAGGCGTGGTCACCCTAGCGGATGCTTTAGATTACGAAAGCACTTCCGTTTACTATTTCACAATCAGAGCATCAGATTCAAATGGAGGAGTAGCTACTACAAGCTTAAACGTAACAGTTGTAGATCAGAATGACTCGCCGCAATTTCTAAGCACACCCTACACTGTGAACATCGGTGAAAATCTTCCAGTGGGGACTACTGTGATAAAGGTTGTTGCTAGTGACCAGGATCCTTCTGATTCGTTGACGTACAGTCTCTCTGGAACCAATAATAACCACTTTAGCATTGGTTCAAGTACTGGCGTTATCAGCACGGCTCAAACACTCGACAGGGAAAATATCAATTCTTATTCACTGACCTTGTCCGTATCGGACGGTAGTGTCACAGTTACTGAAGCAATAAGTATTGGTGTTGATAACGCAAATGACCCTCCGACGTTTTCTAATGCGCCGTTCAACGTTAGCGTTGACGAGAACGTGAACAGTGGAAACCTGCTCACTGTTTCAGCCACAGATGATGACGGCGATGCTATTTCCTTTAGCATATACGGCGTAGGAAGTGAGTTATTCTCGGTTCATTCAAGCAGTGGAGTGGTGTCGCTAGCAGGCGCGCTTGACTACGAAACAGTCAGCGGTTATACGCTAACGATACGGGCAAGTGACGCAAATGGAGGCGTGGCTACAACCTCATTGTATGTTGACGTTGTCAATCAAAATGATGACCCCACCTTTTTAGGCACACCTTACAGCTCAAGTGTCAGTGAGGATGCAGCTGTTGGCAGTACTGTGTTGGTTTTAACAGCCTCAGATCAGGACGGTGACTCTTTGACGTTTACTTTGATCGGCAGCAGTGATTTTAGCATTGGTTTAGCAACTGGAATCATCACCATAAGCCAGGTAATACTCATCCTCAGATACGTTATATTGCACGCCCAACTTTGAACGTAATCTCGTACCCAGATCTCACTCTGTCTTACGCTGAAAAGTGAGATCTCCTTTTCCCTTGGCCGTGGGAGATCTGGGTACAAGATTACTTTGAACCCGCATTCCATCGCTAAATAAATGAGACATGCCCTTGCAGAACAGCGTTTCTTCGGGGAAAATCCAAGTCCAGTTCAAAACAACGATGTAACTAGTCGGAAGAAACACCTGGCCCAATTTGTTGATACAGGATAAACTACTATCCTCTGTATACCGGAATTGGACACCCTAATACTTATCAACTGACGGGAGCAGATGACCTCCTGCCATTGGATATTGATTTCTCCAGAGGACAGTGCTATTCAGGCTTACAAAAACTGGGGTTTGGGAGGCAAAGCGTTTTGTCAGTTCCGCCAAATTAGTCTTTCAAAGCTAAAAAATAAAAAAAAATTGACAAATAATGTTCCAATTGCTATTTGGAATCGACTTCCAAGAAAACGCTGAGGGTCCCGAATCTGTCGTATCTGATTAACAACCAATCCGCTGGGTCCACTCTGTTTCTGGATTCAGGGGGCTAAAGGTTCATTATTGGTTTCCTTTAAAGAAACACAGAATCCCTTTTCAAAATTGATTTTCCGGAGTCGAGTTGTCCTGATTCTAATTGTACCAAAGAAACCCAACCCTCGCAGATCCGTTCTTTTCGTTTGGCCCAGTTTTCTAACTCGTTATTGGGGACATCGTTTTTTTAATAGTGGGAGCGCGTAGGTCGCAGCATTTTATTTCACTCATACGTCTTTAATCTATTCTTGACGGGGACTTTAGCTGTTGTCCGTACTATCGGCGAGGTGTCTGAAAGGCAAGAAATAGAGAGCATTAGATTTGAGGACGAACACGAGTACGAGATTTAACTTGAAGTTTTTGCGTATGTTCTCAAAAAATAAACACCCCGGAAAAGCTTCAGTTTATTTTTTTTCACCTAAAATGTTAGTACGTTTATTTATACTGAAGGAGGTTAAGCCCTCTTCCGATAGCAAAATGATGAATTTCTTACTTTTGATAACTTGTTCCCGCCACTACGACATGATTCTCGTAATAGAATGACGACGGCTACCTCGTTTACCCGCCAAAATAACGCTGGTTCACGCACGTGCAATACTCAGAATTGAGAAAATCTCGTACTCGTAGTCGTCCTCGTACTTGAATCTAAACTCTCTAATGATCATCTGTATGACTACTACATAGCTTTTATGTAAATCTATACATTTTATCTCTTCGACTATTTTGTTCTCCTTCCCAGTCCCTGGATTATGAAACGACAAGCTCTTACTCACTGACTGTCAATGTCACTGATGGGACATCCATAGTATCACAACCGCTGACCATCAGTATCAGGGACACAAATGATGCTCCAGTATTTACTAATTCACCTTACTCTGCGAGTGTGAATGAAAACGAGGCTGCCGGACAAGTATATACAGCCAGCGCCACAGATCAAGATTTAGGTAAGTGTATTGGAAAAATAAATACCAGGCCTTTCTTTCCTTACACTAGGCCTGTAATTGGTTAAATAATTGCACTAAGATTTTAGACTAATGACAAAGGGAAGCGCAGCATATCTTTAGAACTACCTATAAAATTAGTTTGAATTCTAGATTAAAAACCGCTGTAATGTAAAGTGGAAACGAAATCTAGCTTTGACTGTTGAGTGCTCCCTGTCTCCATAGTTACTGCTAACTATGCTATGAAGTGTATTTGTTTCAATATGCATGATTGTTCCTCGGGTGACTGTATCTGTGAAAGCGTTGCATGTTTGGTTTTATTTTAGGACGCCCAATCCACGTAGAAGAATGATTTTAACACCATTTCCTTTTAATTTTCCTCAGGTGATTCAATAACCTTTCTGTTATCTGGTCCAGGAAGTGCAGACTTCTCCATCCATCCAGTCAGCGGTATTGTGTCATCAAGTCAGGCTCTTAACTATGAATCCATCTCGTCTTACCTTTTAACCATCACCGCCTCGGACTCAAACGGTGGGATAGCTCAAACCACACTTAATGTGACAGTTGTGAATCAAAATGATGACCCTGCATTCGTAAGCGCGCCATTTTCTGCAGAAGTGGACGAGAATCTAGTCAGTGGTTCCACGGTGTTAAAGCTTACTGCGACTGATCAAGACGCAAGTGACTCGCTGTCCTATAGCATTGCAGGCACAAATTCTGGGCACTTTGCAGTGTCTTCTGTAGGGCTTATTACAACAACACAAGTGTTAGACTACGAGTCAGTTAGCAGTTATTCTTTGAATATTTCCGTTTCGGATGGTTCTACCACTGTAATAGAAGCTTTGTCAGTTACTGTAAAAGACACAAATGATTCTCCGGCTTTCAATAGCGCCCCTTATACAGTCACAGTACCAGAAAATAACGTGAGTGCCACCGTCTATACCTTGAGCGCCACCGATACGGACAGCAGTGATACACTGGAATATTTCCTTTCAGGGGTAGGAAGCGGTGACTTTTCTATCCTGTCCTCTACTGGGTTAGTTTCACTAAGCAGCGCATTGGACTACGAAAGGAAATCCAGTTATGTTTTTAGTGTTATTGTACGCGATGGAAATGGTGGACAAGCGACTTCATCCCTGACAGTTACCGTTTCAGATGAAAACGATAGCCCTGACTTTATTGGCACTCCATACAGCGCGTCACTTGATGAAGATGTACCCATAGGAACAACAGTTTTGCAAGTATCAGCAACTGACCAGGACACCTCAGATACCCTTTCATACAGCCTAGCTGGAAATAATTACTCTGACTTCAGCATCGGTTCAAACTCGGGGATCATCACCACTGCTGTTGCTCTTGATTACGAGGCTATTAGCTCTTATTCTTTGACAGTTTCTGTTACGGATGGAACCGTGACAGTAACGCAAGCTCTAAGTATTAGTGTCACAGACAAAAATGATGCGCCAGCCTTCACAGCCGCGCCTTATTCCCTCACAGTGCAAGAAAACACCACGAGTAACTCACTACTCACAGTAAGCGCCACTGACCAAGACACTTCGGACACATTGAACTTTCTTCTCTTGGGAACTGGTAGCGAGTTTTTCTCTATCCATTTGACATCTGGGGTGGTTGCTTTGACAACAGTATTGGACTACGAGGTGACGTCATTGTACACTCTTACTGTGCGTGTATCGGACAGTAATGGAGGAGTTGTTACCACTTCATTGACTGTCACAGTCTCAGACGCCAATGACTCTCCCCAGTTCCTTGGTATTCCCTACTCAGCAACGGTCAGCGAAAATCTTCCAATTGCCACTGACGTCATCAAAATTTCAGCTTTCGACGCCGATGGTGGTGATTCTTTGAGCTACAGTTTATCCGGGACTAACAGCGGACATTTTCAAATCTCTTCATCTTCTGGTCTTGTAGAGACAACGCAAGTACTGGACTATGAAACTGTCAATTATTACTCGCTCACTGTAAGCGTAAGCGACGGTTCAGTCAGTATCTCCACCAGCTTGACCATCTCTGTTTCAAATACCAACGATGCTCCTTACGTCACAAACCTTCCTGGTAACGTCAGCATTGCCGAGAATGACGTCACTGCAGCCGTAATTGACGTAAATGCAAGTGACCCTGATGGCGACAATATCACTTTTTCCTTGAGCGGAACCGGAAGTGACGATTTTCGGATCAATTCTGCCACAGGGTTGGTAACCTTAAACAGGGCACTCAACTACGAGATCCAGGAGCTGTATTCATTAACGGTACGAGTGTCGGATGGAGCAGGAGGCGTGGCCTTTGCGTCACTCACGGTCATAACTGTCAATCAAAACGACCCACCTGTAATTTTAGGAGGTCCTTATACAGCGAAAGTTGAAGAAAGTTTAAACGCAGGTACCACAGTATATAAGGCCGCCGTGTTTGATGAGGATTCGAACGACACACCATCTTTCAGTATATCAGGGACAAACAGTGATCATTTTGCCATTTCTTCAGCTGGTATAGTCACCACAACTCAAGCACTTGATTACGAGTCTATTACTTCATATACACTCATCGTAAGTGTCTCCGATGGTTCAGCGAGTGTGAACACGACTTTGACAATCACTGTAGAAGACACTAATGACTCGCCCCAGTTTACCAATGCTCCATACGCTGTCAATGTTGATGAAAATGATGTTGGCGCAGCTTTGGGTAATGTGTCTGCTGTGGACGTGGACAGCGGTAAGTTGAGTTTTCAAATCTTTTTTGTCTGAAAGGAAACCGCATTATCAAAAGTCAGCAGTACTTACTCCTCTCTCAAAGTTTGTACAGAAATGTTCTTTCAAACTATTTAGCGAAAACTTTGTCACGAGACTTTAGCAAAGCTACCATCAACAGGTCCTTTGTAGTTAGTCAGTCACGTGCTACAAAACCGCCATACGTCACTTCCACATTTCCCATAATGCACCTTGGGGGCAAATAAGGTGCATTATGGGAAATGTGGAAGTGGTGTATGCTAGATAGTAAGAAATACACTGAGACAAGACAAACAAAGGAAATTACCATTTAAAATTATGTAAAAGACTTTTGTTTGTCTTGTCCTGATGAATCCCTTGTTCTCCAGCTTGGCCGTTTTGCACCACGTGAACTGACTAGCTAGGGCCTATACCGATTATTACTAGTTTCATATTTCCCTGTTTTCAATTTCTTTGAAATATATCATGACTTGTGCATTTTCTCTCACCAGGACCGGCGGACACGCTTACTTTCTCCTTATACGGAGCAGGAAGCAGTTTCTTTTCCCTTCACCCCAGCACTGGTGTAATAAGTCTCACAGCGGCCTTAGACTATGAAGAGTCGACCCAGTACACTTTGACAATCCGGGTCAGTGATGGGCGCGGGGGACTGGCGACGACCAGCCTTACAGTGAGTGTTAATAATGTGAATGATCCGCCGATTTTTCAAGGAACTCCTTTCACGACTACTGTCAGTGAAAATGTTCCGGATGGTACCAGCGTACTTCAAATAAAAGCAGCAGATGAGGACAGTAGTGATACGCTTTCTTATTCGCTATCAGGCACAAACAGCTCTCACTTTCAGATTTCTTCATCTACCGGGTCAATTTTGACCGCGCAAGAGCCGGACTATGAAGTTCTTAACTACTACTCCCTGACAGTAAGCGTTAGCGATGGAACCACCACAGAGAGTCAACCGCTGATTATAACAGTCGCAGACGCAAATGACTCTCCAGTATTCTTAGACGCGCCTTACTCGGTACAAATTAACGAAAACGACGCTTCCGCGTCCGTTTTAAGGGTGAACGCTTCTGACGCTGATAACAACACGTTGCATTTTACATTGGCAGGATCTGGAAGCGCGCACTTTTTAATTCATCCACAAACAGGATTGATATCTTTAGCTCAAGCACTGGATTTTGAAGATATAATAATGTACGTGTTAACATTAATAGTTACAGACGGAGAAGGTGCTGTTAACACGACCACAGTTACAGTAGAGGTCAACAACCAGAATGACGCCCCCGTTTTCGTCAGTGCTCCATACGCTGCAGCTATTGACGAAAACATCAAAACTGGAACCCAACTTGTGTTAGCGTCCGCTTCGGACGAAGACAGCAATGATACCTTGGTGTATTCGCTCTCTGGAGCGAACAGCTCCCATTTTACCATCTCTGCAACTGGTGTAATATCAACAGACAGTGTCATTGACTATGAAAGTAGCAGCTCCTACTCTTTGACTATCTTAGTTTCGGACGGGACAGTGTCTGTGACCACACCCTTAACTATAACTGTGAACGACATAAATG